ATCTATCATATCCCTTCTCAGCCACCTCTGCTCAAGTAAAAATAGATAAACTTAGCCAGCCCTTCTTCATATGTTTATTGTTTCAACCCCAGTATCGCCCGATTGAAATACTGTACCTGGTATCATTATATTGAAGTGTATTGAGTCTTCTCTCAACCATTCCATTTCTGATGACATGTCAAACTCAAAATGCTAATCTGTCTTTCTCTTTCAGTTACAATAACTGATCGACTGCATATTTTCATCATTTAATAGTTTAAATTTGAGGCATTTGCTATTTTTCTTTTTCTCTTTGTATCTGGTCCTGCCCTCTAATCCAACAATTTCCAGCTTCAGTCATTTAAACTGAAACAAATTAAGTTCAAGGATTTTATACTAGCAAGCATATATTTAATGTCCTAAAATAACTCACTAAATCCATTCCGATCATTTCAGCTCATCCATGCATGGAGGTGTTTTGCAGTATGATAAAGATGCTTTTAAATTGATGTGTGTAGCAGACATAAATGCAGTAATATATCCCGATCCATGGTTAATCCAATCTTGTATTTGTTACACCTACCCAAGTCTATTCTCTACTGAGTTTATTTCCTGACAGCTGATGGTTTTAGTCATTAAACAATCACATTAATCATTAATAATAATAAACTAATATAATAATCCTTGCATTTCATATAGTGTCTTTTACATCAGGAGGAAGTCTCAAAGCGGTTCAAAGGTTTACTATGAAGTGCAGTCACTGTGGATTTCATACATTAACAAACCAGCCAATTTGCACACAGCAATGCCCTACAAACAGCTGTGAAGTCAATGATCAATTGTATCTCGGGGGGATTGTTAGCAAGGACACCAGGAAAAACTCGCATCCCTTTTCGAGTAGTGCTATAAGAACTTTAATTTCACCTGAACAGACAGATATGTCCTCTGTTTTTACATCTCATACAAAGGATGGCATCTCTGACAATGTAGTGCATCCCCATTACTGTATTTAAGTGCCATCCTAGATTATGTGAGTTCAAAGACCTGACTCGGGATTTGATCACTGCCAGATCTATATATGACCTCCCCATCGCTCCACTAATCTCATTGCCGCTGACTTGTGTCTGAACCCTGATCCACTTTCTCCATCTCACTTATAGTTTCTATTATCCTCCAGGGCTATTAACCTCCTGATAACTTTTCCAACTCAATGGTTTCCCTACTGAGCATTCATCCTGGGTGATTCACATCCGATATTTTGCTGCTATTAACCTTATCAAGCCTTTACCTACAACTCTCAGTATGCTCCCTCCATGCAATTATTTCTGCAGCAGTAGACACAAAGGAGATGAAATTCCACTGACCAGTAAAGTTACAGAACTTACTTGTAATTCCACAAAATCCCCAGTGTTAGAGTAATGAGCTATGACCAATGATTAGACAAGGTAGCTCTTTTTAGTCTTGAGAATGGATTTCACAGAGGTGTACACCATTTTAAATGGAGTTGAAAAGTAAACCCAGATCAATACTTTAAGATGCACCAAGATGGCATAGGTTTGGAGTTGCAGAGGGCAATTTCAGGACAGACACCAGGATTTTTTTATTAGAGGGTAATTAATGACTGAAGCATGTTGCCAGGAAGGGTGGTTGAGGTCAGGACATTGGACTTGTGGAGTAAGTTTCCATACCTAGCTGTAAGTAGGAACCCGGTTGTTAGTCAATTGGAGGATCGCTTTTCCTGGGCTAATAATTCCTTTGAAAAAAAATTGGTCACAGTCCACGACTGTTTGTGGGACACTATTTGTGATCCTCATCCTCACCTACAAGGCCATTCACGGCCTTGCTCCCTCCTACCTCTCTGACCTACTATCCCCCTACTTACCTGCCTGTATCCTCCGTTCCTCTGGCTCCGGTCTGCTACCTTCGGTGGCCGGGCCTTCAGCCTCTCAGCCCCTAGGCTCCGGAACTCTATCCCCCAGTGCCTTCGCCGCCTCCTCCCTTTCCTCCTTCAAGGCCAGTCTCAAGACCTTTCTCTTTGACCGTGCCTTCAGCTCCCCTCTCAACTCTCTACCCCTCCTCGCCCCCTCCCTTCCCTCCCCTCAGCCTGACCATTTCCCCCCTGCTCGGGTCCTGACCCAACTGTACAGCGCATTGAGACGTCCTCCCGACGTGAAAGGCGCTCTATAAATGGAATCTTGTTGTTGTTGTTGTTGCTGTGCACAATTGGCTGCCACATTTCACCCACAAAATATACTCACTTTACAGTATATTCTATGAAGCTCTTTGAGATGTCTTGAAAACACTATATTTAATGCAAGGATTATTATTATTGAAAAAGCAGCTTGGTGCTGTGATGGGAGGATGTTATGGTGTGTTTTCTGGAAGGATGAGATCAGATTGACCGAATGGCCTTTTTTCATTCTAAGCCAATCTTATGTCCTTGTCTCTTGTGAATGGAGAAATCTTATTACAATCACATAACTGGAGGTAACGTGAATTTTCCCTTCAATCTATCATTAAGTTGAATAACATAACATCCCACATGTTTTTGCCTGAAAAATAATGTTGTCTTAAGGTTAACATGACACAGAATTGTGAAAAACATATTTAAATTCAATCTTGCTTTGGCAGCTGGTTCTTTTAAAGATCTACAGAAGATCCATTTCCAAATGAAGGTTGAAATTAAGAATTTTAATTGATCTTATAGGCCAAAGCTAAGTGAAATTTCCTACTTTTACTCACATTAACCAGAGACTAAGGAGAGTTTTGCACCTGAGCACTGAAACATGTGATGAACTCCTTAGCTGAACTCCAGTGCTGTGTGTGATATTTTTAATTTTATAAAACATTGCTGCTACATTAACAAAAAAATGTCCTCTTCAAAGTTCTTGGCCTATCTGTTGGACAGTAAACCACAGCTTCAGAACCATTTTTGAGCAGAAGCCAAATTGACTCACATCCATTGTGTTTATTTTGCAGAGATGCAAATCAATGTGTCGCTGAAACAATCCCCTCAAAGTGGGCCCAGTAACTGAATTTCAACAAATGTCACTTTCAAATGTCCCTGTTCCACTTCTCTGTAAACACTACGATAAAGACACTGTATTATTAATCTCGGGATATCTGCATTCCAGATTATTGTATATATATAATGGCCAGATATAAAATGTGTACTGTTTTTATTTTTATGTGAAATTTAACCTATTAACTGTCATTGTGGATACTAACAAGGAACGATTGATCCTTTAAATATCCTTGGGTGAAATAATCTTTTGGCAGTCATGGGCTATCACCGAGGTTAACTATTTAATTGGATACATTTCAAGGGCATCTGAAGCAACCTTTTCTAACCTTGTGCACATGATCATTGGTGATGCGACGTATGGAATACTGCATGCAGTTTTGGGCACCCTAGGGGTTATTCTTCACATCAATTTAGATTGGGATGAGAATACTGCCTGTCTTACAAAGGACATTGATATCCTGGAGAGGGTTGACAGAAGAGTGATAAGAATGATCCCAATATTTAAGACCCAAATTATTGAAAACATTGCAGTGAATTGAATAGTTTTAATCAGAGAAAAAAGGACTTGGGAGAGATATGATCTAGGGTTTCTTTTGCAAAAGAATATTTGATTTAAGGATTTTTGTAACATAAAATAAGGTGCGTAATTTGCAAACAAGAACAACAAACAGAGAGAAAATATAATCCTTGTATTCGATATGGCACCTTATCATGTCATCAAAGTGTTTAAAGGGGAATGAATGCAGTAGCCACTGTATGCACAACAGTGTCCACAAACAGCCATGAAGTGAATGAGCAATGTTATCTGGGGTTGGCAAGGACACCAGAAAAACCTTATTTCTATTTTCAAATCATGCCTTACGATTTTGAAAGTTCACCTGGTAGGCTGAAAGGACTTTGGTTTAGCATCTCTTTGAAGAAAAGCACCTCCAATAATGCATCACTCCCTCAGTACTGTAATACAGTGCCAGCCTAGACTATGATCTCAAAATCCTAAAGTGGGGTTTAAACTCCCAACCTTCTGAGAGATGAATATGCTACCAACTGAGCCAGGCCAGCAGCTGAAATGAAAGCGTTATGTCACTCATTGACCAATGACTTGTATTTTACTGATCAGAAAATAATCCTTTGTTTTTGCCCATTAACATCATTACAACAACAACTTGCATTTTTATAGTGCATTTCACACAGCATAACATCTTGGAGCACTGATTCACTGATGATCAGAGAGTGACTTCCCCCTCCCCCACCCCCACTCTTGGCCCTGGTGACTAACATGTGACTGCAATCAATCCAATACTGGCTATACTTAATAAAATCATGAGATAAATATTTAATAAGGTGTAAAAATATTACCAAAAAACCAAGAGTGTCAAATTATCTCCAATTTTAACATCTTGCAGCCCTTCATGGTTAATTAATGTCAGGACCACTGACTATGTGTTTGCCTGAATTGACTGAATTTATAGCCATTTTTGTTGAACAACGACAACAAGTTGCATTTATATGGCACCTTCAACATTGAGAGGATGTCCCAATGCACTGGACAGTTGAAGGTTTGCACCGGAGCTGGGGGTTGGATTCAAGAGGGGTGGGGACCAAGGAGGGTGGATCCAAGGAGGGTTGGGGGCCAAGGAAGGTTGGGATAGCAGAATGAATAAAGATGTGGTCAAAAAGGAAGGTCTTGACTCAGATCTTGAAGGAGGCAGGGAATGGAGCATGGCAAAGTGACTTTGAGATTCAGTTCTAGAGGGTAGGGGCAGAAAGGTTGAAGACCTGACTGCCGATAGTTGACGAAAAGCAGAGGACAAGAAACAAACCAGTAAGGCCCCACAAACCATCATGATGTGTATGACCTATTTATCTGGATGATTGCTGTTTGAATATCAATGTTTGTTGCCAGAAATGTAATGTAGAAGATGAAAAACAGAAGTTGATTAAAAATGCACATTTATTTGTTCACATCCATTTATGGGTCCAATATCTTTTGTTCCAGCTTCACTCAAATGCAGATGACGGTGATGGATCAGTCAAGTACATCCTTTCGGGGGAAGGAGCTGGGTCTATATTTGTTATTGATGACAGTACAGGAGACATTCATGCCACAAAAAGTTTGGATCGTGAACAGAAGACACATTACATTCTTCATGCCCAGGCGCTGGACAGAAAAACAAGCAAGCCTCTGGAACCTGAATCCGAGTTCATCATCAAAGTGCAGGATATAAATGACAATGCACCAGACTTTTTGGAAGGTCCATTCTCTGCCTCAGTTCCTGAAATGTCTGAAGTTGGTAAGTTGTACCAATCTATCATAATTTCCTTCCTTCCATTTTAACCTTAAAACTGTCAGTTGAGCTGATTTCTGAACTTCTTTTACAGGTGTATTTCTTTTACAGATCAATCAAAGGTCATCCTGATTTTAAAATAATTTAATACAATACTCCCGCAGATTTTTCTGACTGCCTAGTAAGGTCAATTTGTCCATCAAAGCGACTCTCTCTACATGAAAAACTCCTTGACAGACCAAATTTTTGTCTTGGGGTTGAAATGATGCTATTTGTAAACACTCAGTTGCAGAGTTAATTGCAAGTTCTGATTTGTGATTGAAAATCTGAGATGTATTACCTTCTTGGTTAAAACAAATTAAGAAGAAATTGTGATCCCAAGAAGGGAACCAACTTTATTTGGTTCCTGTTGTGCTTTCTGACATTTTGTTGATATTTCCAGGTCTTTTCTTGATGAGAAATGTGTATTTCCAATATAATAATTCTTGCATTTGATTTAACACCTGATCACTTCACATTTTTCTGTAAGGTAAAGTAACTGTCTATTTCCAATCTACTCACCATCTTCTGCCAGTTCTTCCAATTTCCATCCAGCTAGATCTCTTCTACGGCTCATTCAATCAAACATAAATTCCACATAATGCTCCCTCCAAATCTCAAGGATACGCTCATTTCTTTTTGAATGAGATGTCAAACCAAGGTCCTTTCTGTTTGTTCAGGTGGAATTTGAAGATCCCGTGGCATTATTCAGTTTCTCTTGATTTCCTGACCAACAATCCTCCAGTTTAATTAATTTACCTCAAGGCTGTTTGCAGGACCCTGCTGGACCAAATGGCTTCTGTGCCACTGCCCAAAATCAGCCATTGGACTTGACAGTGCACTTGTGAAGCACATCTAAGACAAGATAAAGCAATGGGGAAAAAAAACAAGATATTTAACAAAAGGAGAATGAACTGGTGTTGGAAGAAGTGATTTGTTTTAAATAGATATTACCACTGAAATAGTTCCTGATTCCCTTTAACATACATACATCACATCTAACAGGACTTTGAAATTCCATATTGCTCTTCCTTTAAACATAAATCTTTTCAGACCATGATGAATGAAGTGACGTTTGAAGCCTGCATGTTTTTAACTAAATTCACATAATAAATGAGATGCTTCACAAGCCTGAGAAGCCATAAAAATAATTTCTATTGTTTCTTGCAGCTCACTACTTCCGTTCCATTTATAATCTTGATTCGGTGCTTGCCTTTTAATTTCCAAAGCAAGTGTTGCAAATAATGTTTGTTTGTTGAAAACAATGTATGTTGTGATCTAATTTACTTTAAAACATAGGCAAGAGTTGGAAAATAACTAGCAGTTTAGCTGGTTAGACTCCAGCACACTCTGGGGACCCCAAGCCTTGGTTCTTGCCAACCTGCACCTAATACTCTCTAGGTTTAGATAAGCAGGATGTGTCTCTCCTGGGAGAGAGTGTGCATCCCATTCCAATAAACATCTGTGAAATTTGCCTGTATAGTAGGGATACATGGAATTTTTAGTTTGGTTTGGATGTCCTTAAGCATGGCGATGGCTTTCCGCACATGTACCCATCACTATGCATAAAAGTATCCAAAGAGATGAGCAAAAAAGAAACTTGTCCGAAACAAAAATCAAATCCCTCAGGTCCTTTATTCAGGAAAAATGATTAAAACTAGAGACCCTTCCTAGTGGCGTAATAGGTATTGACACTGTGGTGAACTACTCGACCATATCTGCAAGGAGGAAATTCAATGCAGCTGCTGAATTACAAGCCTGTCTGAAATGCAATCCAGCAGAATTTCAGTGATTCAGGCTGCAGCCACAGTGATCATTAAAACAAATAACAGAAACAAGCAGTAATGATATCTGTTCCAGTGGGTTGTTTATAAAGAATATATTAGTGTTATTAAAATTTCCAAGGAAGAAAATGTAATTCTTTAATTACAGTAATCCCTGTGTTTTAGTATTTCATTGCCCACAGAATACTGTGAGTCATTTTATTTCATACACAGCACAATCAGGTTTCCTTGTTTATTTTATATTACAACTCACGAACAGAATGCACATGTGTATTGTTAGAAAGCAATATCAATAGCAACAGACAGAGCTAAACAATAATATTACCAGATTGCAGAGGTGTTTACTGGGAGGATATTATGCAGAGCACAGTCACTTAGCACACTATTGCTCATTTGAGAGATTGGCTGATTTTAGCTGCATTACTGTTGTCAGAGAAAATGATTAGCTCTGGTTAAAAGCAAAGCTGGAAATTGTGGAGCTCTGTGTGACGTACAGATTCAATTCTATTCAGTGGACCAAACCAATACATCAAATCTGCATTGCTTTCTGATAATGTTTTCATCACATTAGCATCTCACCCAGGCTTTTAACAGAGCTGGCCACACAGATTGCATCTGCCAGTAAAAAGCAAGTACATGACAACTGGTGTTGCAGTATTGTTTCAGAACAGGCAATTGCTGAATGAAACAAGACCTGCCCCAAACTTCCCCAATATCATGATGGAGACCCTTTCTAAAGGTCTGTTTTGCTTCCAATGTATCTTAAAGTTTGCCCACAACACACACAGTCACTACACTTTACAGTACATCCTGTGAAGCAATTTGGAACATCCGTCTGATCCAAAAGGCACTATACCAAATGTACATATTATCATTATTATTATTACGGCATTGTTATTATGTCATCAGGATTACTGTCAAAATTCCTCTAAAACATGATACCATTATTTGCAGTGTTTGAAGTCTCAGATCTAACATATATGCCCTGTATAATACCTCATGATAATATTAATGATTAATGACAATCAAACAAAACAAGCTATCATGGGAGGAAGGTTATTAATATGGTTCTTTACATTGGGAATGGCAGAGTCACAAATCGCTAAGAGAAAGGATCTAATAGAGAATTGAGGAAGAACTATTTCATGCAGAGGGTGGTGTGAATGTGGAACTTACAGTCCAAAGCAATGGCTGAATCAGATAGTATAGACAAATTCAATACGAAGCTAGACCTTCACATGAGGGGGCGGGGAATAGGGAGGGAGTATGAATAGGTGGAGACTCATTTGGAGTATAAACACCTGCATGGACCATTTGGGCCAAGTGGCCTGAACATTTATGCTATTCTATGAAATCTTTGCAAATCTCCCAATTTCATATTTATGAGTCAGAAGTTTGTAGATTCAAGATCCACACTGATCTCACTGTCTAGGCTGAACCAGTGCAGAGTTTAAACAAAATGTATATTTCTGTAGCACATTTCTTTTCAAAATAACCTAGAAGTGCTTCACAAGATAAGAATAATTAGAAATGAAGTGAATGTTATGTGCTAACTTGCCAAGCCAAAGTTAAACTTACAATAATGGTCTGTATAAATAATTTTGACTAAACCTCTCTCTTTACAGAGGATCAGTTGTCGGGGTTTTTTTCTCCCTAGTGCTGTATTCTGCTAATTCATTCCCTTTCAGTGGTTATTAAATTCAAATCAGACATTAGTGGAACTAACATTGCTGGACAAGAGCATAAGACTTGTATACACATGATGTTCTTTAACTATCCACTTTATTACTCATCCCAAATTAACGCACATTTGGTGATTTCTCCAGCCATAAAAATGATTCTGTTGAAAGGGAAAGGAGTCATTTAATGAGTGTTCTACTTGGTGGGATTTAAACTTGAATCCATGGAAGTAGAATCTCTTGCTTGCTCTCCAGAAAGGAAATCAATACAATTCCCCAATGCTAGCTGTACTCTTCCAATTACTGCATGACAGTTTCTACTGTCAAAGTAGATCTTAAGAGTTGGAATATCCCCCCCACACTCTTGTGACCAGGACACAATGATGTTGTCAGAAATGAATGCCTTCTTACCCTTCAATGTGAAGAAACCAGTTGGCGTGTTTTGAAGGCTGCCAGAAAGTTTACAACATTTGTAAGATTTGTGATCAGAATTTTAAAAAAAAGATGTATTGAGCTGCAGGTAATCCATCAGTCTGAAAGCAGAGGAGAGTCATAATTGACAAATGTCTGCTTTCAGGCAACTCAGGCAAAACAAATGGCTGTGTAGTGGTATAAATAACAGGAGCAAACAAATCTGTGCTGAATATCCCATTGACTATTTAAGATTCCTAGATGCCCTCAAGGACTCCTTCAGCATCAAATCTTTTCCCAAAAATGTATAGTTTCCTTTTGAAATGTGATCAGTTGGGACTGGACTATACCAATGGCTATCATTTGACTACCATTGATAATAAAAATAAGGATTCTTGTTTCTACCTTTGAAAGTAGCAGTGACTGTAATGCAGTGTGTCAGCCTGGCGCAGTTGGTAGCACTCTCACCCCTGAATCAGAAGCTTTTGGGTTCAAGTCCCATTTTGCCTCAGATGAAACATGAATGCAGTGTTTTGGGGAAGGGGTGTTTATTGTTGGAAGTTCCATTTTTCTGGTTATATATGAAACAGAAGTCTCTTCTGTCTGGTGAAGTGGATGTTAGAGATTTCAGGGCAATATTCGAAAAGAGAAGGGTGTCTCTCATGATGACCTGGCCAATTAATCCCAAGATAAAATTGGTCATTCACTTCATAACAATAATCCTTACATTTAGTGTAGTGCCTTTCATGTCAGGAGAATGTACCAAAGCACTTCATGGAATTTACTGTAAAGTGTAGTATATTTTTGTGTGAGAATATGGCAGCCACGTTTTGCACAGCAATATCCCACATGAAGTTAATTTTATTGTTGGTTGATGGCCAGGACACTTAACTCATGACTATCTGTGTGACATTGCTGTAAGCAAATTGACTGCTATATTTACTTGCAATATACACTACACTTTTTGAGACACTCTCCAGTGTGAAAGGTGTTATATTAAAATGCATAGGAGGATTGTTGACAATCTCAGGAAGGACCATATCCAGCCATTTTTAATTGAATACAAATCATTGACATGGAGGATATTTTTCCTGCTGTACCTCACTCTCTGTACATCTGACATTACTTTGCTGATAAAAGTTATATGATGCAAAGTCCAGATCATCCCACTCATGCTGTTTGCACACTAAGGTTCAAACTGCTTTAAAAGGATTTTATGTTATTATGCAAAAACATAATTCTGACCTGAAAAAGGAGTGGGAGAAAGTTTTGAAGAACAAAGTGAGAGAGGATCTGGAAGATCGTTTAACTGCTCAGTTGGAGTAAATCAAGCAAATTTGGCAGAAAATGCTACCTAGAATGTATCATTACACCTTTGTAATACATCACAAAATGTTTTACCGCTCCCCTTAACCCTTTGAAGAAAATGTGAGAATGCAGAATGCAAGGATGTGCCTTCCTTGTTCAATTTGTCCTCTCTCTTCTCAGTTTTCTCTCCACCACAAGCTAATGACATATGCTAGGGGCATGTTTCCAAGGGGCCTAGGTGGATTCTGGTACTTTGCCAAAGTAGTACTCTTAGGAGGCTGGATAATGAGAGTCAATAGCCTATTTAAACAAGGTGAGGACCTGTGTCGTGCAGATCTGAAGCTCAACATTTCTCACGGTTAAGACTAGGAATGTGAAAAATATTGGATGGGTTACCTGGAGCCCAATTGAGGATATTATTTTCATACAAATTTATCAATATAGTAATATAATTCACCCAGGCTAACCTTACAAAAATGTAAGAAGTCTCTGATATTAATTCGGATCTTTTTCCAATCACTTCAAATAGAAGAAATTGGCTGCATGATAGGAATTAGAGCACATTTTTTATTATGTATTTGGAAAAGGCATTTATTGTACACTTCATTTAAATAAGATACGGGCTCAGGCAGCAAGAATGATGACTATGATAAAAAATACTCTCAAAGTAGAAAGGTCTCAATTCACTCAAAGCTCAGAGTTTGTAACACATCATGTTACTTAGGGAGCACTTGGTCTGTGTGATCATACAAAAGAGTTTTATTGGTAGAAGAAGCATCGGGCAGTTGTGGCTATGTTAGTGCTCACATGTGGTCTGAATTTACGAATACTTAATACTGTAAAGAATAACCAGGAATAATTTTTATTTATTATGGTTCATTAACAGAAACATTCCTTAATCTGTGTCTCTTGACGCAAAAGGCTTAGAGCCTCATTAATATTTGATGTGCGTAATTATTATAACTGCGGGGAGTGTAAATATACTGTGTTTATACTCAGAAAAGATGTTTCCTATTATTGTATCAGTTCTAGTTTATTTTCTTTGGGAACTATTCCAACTGCTTGTTATACATTTTGGGAATAATTTTATTAATAATTAAAATTGAAATACATGTTATTTCTGATGCATATTCCAATTATTGGCCACTTAACTTCATTTCAGCAAGCATATTCTGGAAGGCACACTGTCATTTTGGGTTGAAACAATTTTATTATTGCTAGTTTACAAACTACAAATGTCTCAACCAGCAGATCTGCTTAGATAACAGCACTGCCCAGTGGCACACTAAGTTCTGTAGCTCAATGGTTAGAGCACTTGCTTCACAAGCGAGAGGACCCTGGTTTGATTCCCGGTCAGATCTGTTTGTGCTGTATATACATTATGATGATTCAGTCTGGATATGGTTACATGTTCTATTCTCTCCAATACATCGAAATGTTCTGCACAGAAGAGGGCCATTCAGACACTCACTTCAATGCCACTGATCTTTCTTTATTTCTACCCTTTTTTTATTACTCCCACTTTGCATCTCTCTTCCTATATCCTTAATATTTTATTTCTGCTCAGGTACTCACCCAGTTCTGCTTTTAATGATTGTACTGCTATTGCTTGAATGGCTACTTGTGATAATGAATTCCAAACCATAACAACCTTGCAAGAGAAAAAATTCCTCCTAACCTCTTCCCCCAATTTTTCTGCTAAGAATCATCAGACGATGCCCCTTTGCCACTAATTTGCTAAATTATTATTTTTTCTCTTAGCAGCTTCATCATGTCCTTTCACAATCTTAAACAATTCTATCCTACCTCCCATCTCAATCTTGTTTGCTCCACTGGGGTGGGGGGGAAATCATAATTTAGCCATTTCTCTTCATATAAGCACTATGTATAACAATAACTTACATTTGTATAACGCCACTCATACAGCGTAACATCCCAGAATGCTTGACAGTGGCGGAGCACAACACCGAGCTGGGGTAAGTGGGGGGAGATGACTGTAAGCATGGTCGAAGATGATCGCCCATGCTTACCTGGCTTCAGCTTTGTAAATCTGCAATGCATCCCTCTTCATCTCTATGGAATCCTCCCTGTGATGGGAAGCCCTAAATTGAACAGAATATTCCACTGTCATCTATACAATTTAAGCATCTTATACAAAGAGAGAAATACCCTAACATTCTTCAATCTCTAAGGCCCTGAAATATCATCTGGCAATTAAGAATAAGAATTTTTCAGTGGACTATTTGTAAAATAACACTTGTGATCCTATTTTCTGTAACATACACAGGAATTGTGAATCTATTTTAGTGATCCCAAGATCATTGAATATTTAAATTCTCTTCCATTTTCTAAATGTTGCGAGTTTGTCCCTCTGTGCATGTGAACACATCTAATACAATATCAAAAAATAAATAGCATGACATTACAGTATTACTGTGCTTTAAAATTCTATTAGTGTTATTTATAAGTGTACAGGGACAGATTTGCAAAACATACCTGAGCAGATTAATTCCCAATGTGGTTATATAAAAAAATTAGATTTAATTTTAGTGAAGAGTATTGTAAGGATGTGGAATACATGAATATGTTGACAGCCATATGTGGTAATGTTCACCTTTCACATGTGTTCAGAGGTGAAAATGAGGTAATATCGAACCTCTTGAAAGCACAAATTCAAAGGAAGATGTAGTCAGCTGAATTTTCACACAATAAAAACGAGATAACTATGCACTTATTCTCGTGCCACACACACTTTTCTACCATGATTTGTGTTTCAGGCACTCCGAGAGAATATATTTTATTTTAGAATTGTTTCCTGGAGCTCCCCCAAGGGGTCAGTTGGTAAATTTGCAAAGAGTGGAACTAAGAATTATAATAATAACTCTTGCATTTGTATTTTATTAAACTCTTGCATTTTGCACCTTATCGCATCGGAAGGACATCTCCAAGTGATAAGATGTTCTGAGGCTCAAGCTTTGGTCTGGGAAGATTCATTGGTTTCATCTGAGGCCCCACTTCCACCTCACCTGAAACCAATGAATCTTACAGGTACAGCAGCTCTGAGCTGAGGAAAAATCGGTCAGGTTTCCCATATTGCTATCCAATTAGTTTCCAGGCTGACACTCCAATCCTGTGCTGGGAGCATGCAGCATGGTCAGAGATGCTGTCTTTCAGATGAGGTGTTAAACCAAGGTCCTGTCTGCCAGTTCAGATGGATATTTAAGATCCTGTGGTAATACTCAAAAAGAAAAGGGAATAATTCCCAGTGTCCTGGCCAACACACCTCCAGCTAATATTAATGATTCGCTTCATGACTGTTTGTGAGGCATTGCTGTGCATAAATTAGCTGCCGCATTTGCCTACAAATATGCAGTTACTAAAATTCGCAATAAAAGTGACAGGAGTCAGAGGGAGCATGAATGTGGGACATGGTTGATGATCAATTAGAAAGATAGGATTACAACACTGGAGAAAAATAAAACACGAGAGAGAAAGGGAGAGAGAGAGAGAGAGAGAGTGGAGATAAAGAAAATGGGTTACAAGAAAAAAAAGGGGGAACAATCTAGTGTTCCAAAATGTATTACGCGGGAAAGATTTTGCTCAACTATAATTAGATAATGTGACATTCCATGTGATATCAATATGCAGTAAAATTCACGTAACAACAACAACAAGATTTCATTTATAGAGTGCCTTTCACGTCGGGAGGACGTTCCAAGGCGCTGGACAGTTGGGTTGGGACCCGAGCAGGGGGGAAATGGTCAGGGTGAGGGGAGGGAAGGGAGGGAGCGAGGAGGGGGTAGAGAGTCGAGAGAGGAGCTGAAGGCACGGTCGAAGAGAAAAAAAGACATAAGTCTTACCTTTATAAATTGTATAATTGCCTAAGTTCATAAATTCACCTGAGTTCCATTCAGTTTTCTCTGAAAACAATTTAACTTTATTTGCACTACTCATATTAATCACCTCTGTTCCCCTATCCTCTACTATTCTCGCACTTACCGACAGCATTGAATCGTGGGATATGAAGTGCTGACCTATCAACACGTATGCACTTACCAGCTTCTGCATTGAATCACGTGAAATATAGTCTTGATCTGTCGGCCAGCTTGATCCAGCTAGAATGACACAGTACCACAAGCGCACTTACTGGCTGCATTGCATTCCTCATGCACTGTGTAAATTATTGATTAAATCAGATTTTACATGACTTATAAAGTTTGATTGCAACTTGGACTTCACCTATTTATGTGAGTTTTACTGTGCTTCTCTTTTGTCTTTATGTGACTAATGATACATACACACACATTCATTGTCCATTCGTTTGGTTGTGTACAGGTACTTCTGTGCTGCAGGTGACAGCTACAGATGCTGATGACCCCACATATGGAAACAGTGCCAGGGTGGTGTACAGTATCCTGCATGGACAGCCCTACTTCTCTGTGGATCCCAAAACAGGTAAAAGGCAAATTTTGTGCTATTTTTGTGAATCCCCCCACCCCCCAACACCCACCCTAAGTATTATGCAAGAAGCACAAAAGTTCCATCATTGTATTTAGGAAACAGAAGTAATAGATGAACAATTTTGCATCACATTCACAATGACCAATTGATTCATGATAATACAATGTTTGACCTGGTTTGGAGATATACCAATTTTGGGTCAGTCTGTTCTTTTCAATGATATCATCACATGGTGAATATTCCAGGAATCCATGAGGTTCCTGCAACAATCCCATTACCAAAGTCAATTTTCGTGAGGTGTGAGATTCAATTTAGATTCATACCTCTGTTTGAGGGCTTCAGTACTTCCCAAAGCATTGGAATTAACACTACAACTAAGAGGTGCAACTAAAGTTTTAGAGGTCGAACTGTCTATAAAGAAAAAAATTACAAATTGTGATCTGGTTTAGATTTGGTAAAAATCAATAATTTTATGGAATATATACTTTATGGTGTATATACTGCTCTAGTAACCTTGTGTTTTGCTGTTATAATCATAGAACTTTACAGCACACAAGAAGGCCATTTGGCCTATTGTGTCTGTGCTGGCTCTTTTAAAAGGTAATCCTTTCAGTCCAATTTACCTGTCCTTTCCCATACCCTTGTCATTTTCTCATGTTTAGATATTGATCGAGTTCCCCTTTAAAAAGTAATATGGATTCTGTTGTTTGCTCTGTTCAATAAAAATTCTGAAGGCATAGAATTCAGTAGATCCTTCACAAGGAGGTGATTGTGAACCTTCAGTCTCCCAGCTCCAAAGATTTATTATTTAAATTATTGTCAAAACACCAGTGGAATAACAATACCCGAGGGGAATGGTGAAGACCTGGATGTTTCATATTGAGAGAACTCTTTTCAGTGAAGTGGAGCAACAATCACAGGGTACAAATTCAGTAATACCACAGCACATGGATCAGTTAAGATGTGTGACATGGAGTAAGTAAACTAGAATAATGATCATTAAATAATATATGAAATTCATATGAGGTGTTTAGCTCCTGTTCTCAGCATTTTGGGAACTGTGTTCAACCCAAGCAAAAGTATTACTGCACTTGATACCCAGTGACCACAATTTCTGAAGGAAATTTGAAGAGGTCAGATTTGAGGTGCGACTTAAAGATGGATAAAGTGGGGACGAGATGGATAAATAAAGACCGGGGGTTGCAGCAGTTGGGAGCGTATGAATTTAAGGCACGGCCACTAAAGGTGGCGTGGAGCGGGCAAGAGATGTACAGCAAATCTTAGTTATCTGAGCAGAGAGGTAAGCGGAGGAGTGGGATAGGAGAAGGTCGAAGAGTTAAGGAGGTGCTAGAGGGTGTACATATTTGTTATTACACAGCATTTTCCCTTTCAAGAACATTTCCTACTGGAATACAGTACAATACAAATTTAAATTTATATAGCAACTTTCACATTGGTTGCTAGGGACAGGTGGTAGACTTATTTAAAAAGCAGTTTGATGGAATGGTAGGATGTGTGTTCTGGAGAGTTGATAATTGATGGAGAAGAGCTTTCTTCATCCAGATCAATCTTGTGAACATGCCTATGGCTAGCCCCCTCTCACCCTAGCCCTGTAAAAAATGTTGAGACAATATCCTACATGAAGGGCGCTAAACAAATGTAAGTTAATATTGTGGTTGGAATTAATACCAGTGACTGGAAAAGTACTTCGGACATAAATCTGACTCCTTCATGAAACTCCATGTACATCTCAATGACCCGTGAAAACTCTCCAAGGATCCCAAATCACCTCAATGGCGAGTTTTCCCAGTCACTATCATGTCCTGGGGCATCTCTCCATAGGACTCATTTTCCATTCAGAGGCACTTTCCCTGTCATTCATGCTGCAAATTTTCATTGAAGTATTGTTTTGAACTCTAATTTAGCCTGAAATCTTTGTTTTATCTGATTTAGCATTTAATCACTAGAAAAGCATCAGTGAATTGCATACTTGTCTATACAATTATAACTTTCATCTTAATTATCAATAAAGTATATTAATCTGGGTCATTTTCATTATTGTGGTTGACTTACTCCATCTAATGACAATGAACGTTCTTAGCAGAGTAATAACCTAAATGCCACAAGTTGTGACCTTTCATTTGGATACAATGCTTAAACAGTGCTTGAGGACCCTGAAGGAAATAGGATCAATGATTTACAGAACATCAAGGCTTTTCTTGTTGTGTTCACTCATCATTTCACTTCATAAACTTCACCAAACCCATTCTTGAATTCAAAGGACTATAATATTTTTAACTTGTGCTGGATTAATTCAGACAATGCTAACTCTTAAATGGGGCATATTGCCTTGCAGACAAATGGATAATGATTTCCCGAGTTCGTATTTTAATCCTCCCAACATATTATGTATCATTTAACACCTTTATGAAGGCCTTTTAATGAGTTTAGGAGAAGCTTTAATTAAAATGTGCATTGGTGCAGAAAATGTAAAATTATATTTCCATTGTTGTTAACTGGAGAATTTGTAGGGCAAAACTTTATCACATGCAATCCTTTATCTCCTTCACATTATTGCAATCAGCATCCTGACATAAATGGCAAACGGGTAATAAGTCACTCATCGCTGCTAGTTATTATTACTGTTAGTTTATTGTTGGTTGTTGTTGCCAGTAACTGACTTGCTGACTACAATGATTTATTGTAGTTTCACTTCCTGATTGTATTCAGTCTTATGGAAGATTATTTTCTCTGCCACAATCATAATGTAAACATGGAAGTATGGTAGCTATAGAAGCTGCCATTCACCAAGATTGTTTTCGATGAAGAAGGCCTTTCGGCCTATTTGATCTCATCCCCTCTACCGTCCTCTCATCAAAACATCAAACTGCTTTTTAAATATCTTTCATCGTAATTATCAATAAAGTATATTAATCTGGGTCATTTTCATTATTGTGGTTGACTTACTCCATCTAATGACAATGAACAATCTTAGCAGAGTAATAACCTAAATGCCACAAGTTGTGACCTTTCGTTTGGATACAATGCTTAAACAGTGCTTGAGGACCCTGAGGGAAATAGGATCAATGATTTACAGAACATCAAGGCTTTTCTTGTTGTGTTCACTCATCATTTTACTTTTAAATGAGTCCAGAGTCCTGGCCTCAACCATTGTTCCTAGCAACCTATTCCAGTCATTAACTAAAATTATCCTGGAGTGATCTCAAGTCTTTTTAAATAATCTAGTGCAACAGTTTTTTTTACATCTGGGCGTCTTGTTCGACCCTCAACTGTCCATTCTCCCCCATATCCGTGCCATGACCTCCCCCACCTCCACAACATTGCTCGACTCCACCACTGCCTCATCCCTCAGGCCACCAAAACTTTCATACACGTATTCTTCACCTCAAGGCTCGACTACGGAAACTCACTCCTTATCGTCCTCCCCAACTATTCCATCCAAAAGCTGAAGATCATCCAGAACTCTGCAGCTTGTGTCCTCTCTCGCACCAGGCTCGGTGACCCCATCACTCCCACACTAGCCTGGCTCCACTGGCTCCCCATCTCTCAGAGAATAGATTTCAAAATCCTCGTACTCATTTTCAAGGCTCTCCATGGCGTTGCCCCATCCTACCTCTCTGACCTGCTAACCCCTACCAAATGCACTCCTTGTGGGTCTTCCCAGCTCCACTATTCAAAGATCCAGTTCATTTAGAACTCTGCTGCCCACATACTTAACCAGATGAAACTCCGTACCCACATCTCACCAGTTCTGGCCAGGCTCCACTGGCTCCCCAGCACCAAACGGATCAAATTAAAGATCCTCACACGTGTTCAAATCCCTTCACTCTCTGGCACCTCCCTACCTCTCTGACCCCCTCAATCCCCAACCCGGCACCTCCACTCTACTGGTACCGGCCTCCTGCTTATCCCTCACACCCTCCGCCCCACCATCGGAGGTTGCACTTTCAGCCACTATGCCCTGAAGCTCTAGAAAACTGTCCCTCAATTCCTCCTCCTTGCTCATCTCTCCCCTATTTCAAGTCCCGCCTGAAGACCTTCCTGTACAACCGTGCTTACAGCCACCTGCTCCCTCCACTGGCACAAAGTTAGGCTCTGCCACTGTTAAGTGCTCTGAGATGCTACCCTGTGTGGAGAGCGCTATAAAAGTGCAACTTGTTGTTGTACCAACCTGTCCTCTCTCTCCAGTCAGCATTCTCTGGCTCCATGTCTCCCCTTGACCCGCCCTACCATTGGTGGCCAGGCTTTCAGCCTCTCTCCCCCCATCCTTTGGAATTCCATCCCACAATCCCTTCACCTTGCTCCCTTTCTTGCCTCCTTCAAGGTATGACTCAAGACCCCTCCTTTTCGACCGTGCTTTTAGCCACCCTCATACCTCTAAGCCCTCCCTCATCCCAACCCTGTCCTCCCACGCTTGGGTCCTGATCCCTGAGTATTCAGCGTCTTGGGACGTCCTCCCAACGTGAAAGACGCTCTACAAATGTATTTATTTTTGTTGTTGATCCGTTCTATTCTATTTTATTCATTCAGCTGAACTGAACCCAAGGATTTCCAAGGGTTTGGTTAACTTTTGAAAGTGTGTAAAACTCATCTCTCTGGGCCACGGGATACGATTAAGACTGAATATACTCTGAATAAGCCAGAAAGGCCACCTTTGAATCTTGAAAATAATTCCTTTCTAAACCCAAATCCAAGATAACAGTGCCTGGACTCTTTAATACGTTTTTGACACTGTAAGTACCATTATTCAAAGGTTGTAGGAAATTTTAAACAACAACGACAACAAATTACTTTTTAGCGCCTTTCACGTCGGGAGGATGTCCCAAGGCGCTGGACAGACAGAGTTACGGACGCGAGCTGAGGGTTGGGGAGGCGGGAGGGCATGGGGGGAAGCAGGGAGTTCAAAAATACGGTCAAAGAGGAGAGTCTTGAGGTGGGTCTTGAAGATGGCGAGGGAGGGGGCGAGACAGAGG